GATACAAAACTGCAGAATGGGTAAGAATTCACCAGACGGGCACGGTGACTCACACCTCTAATCCCAGCACTTTGTGAGGCCGAGGCGGGTGGATCACAAGGTCAAGAGATGGAGACCATCCTGGTCAACATGGTGAAACCCTGTCTCTACTAAAAATACAAAAATTAGCTGGGCACGCTAGTGCGTGCCTGTAATCCCAGCTACTCAGGAGGCCGAGGCAGGAGAATTGCCTGAACCCGGGAGGCAGAGGTTGCGGTGAGCCGAGATCGCACCATTGTACTCCAGCCTGGGTAACAAGAGCGAAATTCTGTCTCAAAAAAAAAAAAAGACTCATATAAACTTAAAAGTAAAGGGGTGGAAAAAGCATTTCATGCAAATGGACACCAAAAGTGAGTAAGGGTAGCTATTCTTATATCAGACAAAACAGACTTTAAAGCAATAGCAGTTAAAAGAGACAAAGAGGGACATTATATAATGGTAAAAGACCTTGTCCAACAGGAAAATATCACAATCCTAAACATATATGCACCTAACACTGAAGCTCCCAAATTTACAAAACGATTACCAATTAGACCTAAGAAATGAGATAGACAGTAACACAATAATAGTGGGGGACTTCAATACTCCACTGACAGCACAAGATGGGTCATCAGGACAGAAAGTCAACAAAGAAACAATGGATTTAAACTATACCTTGGAACAAATGGACTTAACAGATATATACAGAACACTTCATTCAACAACCACAGAATACAGATTCTATTCAACAATGCATGGAACTTTGTCCAAGACAGACCATATCACAGGCCATAAAATGAGCCTCAATAAATTTAAGAGAATTGAAATTATATCAAGCACTCTCTTAGAGCATAGTGGAATAAAACTTGAAATCAACTCCAAAAGGAACCTTCAAAATCATGCAAATACATGGAAATGAAATATCCTGCTCCTGAATGAGCATTGGGTCAAAAATGAAATCAAGATGAAAATTTAAAAATTATTTGAACTGAACAACAGTAATGACCGAACCTATCAAAACCTCTGGAATACAGTGAAGGCGGCGATAAGAGGAAAGTTTATAGCCCCAAACACCTGCATCAGAAAGACTGAAAGAGCACAAACTGACAGTCTAAGGTGAAGGAACTAGAGAAACAAGAACAAACCAAACTCAAACCCTGCAGAAGAAAGGAAATAACCAAGATCAGAGCAGAACTAAATGAAATTGAAACAAAAAAATGACAAAAGATAAATGAAACAAAAAGCGGTTTTGAAGAGATTAAGTTGATAGACCATTAGCACACTAACCAACAAAAGAAGAGAGAAATCCAATAACCTCAGTAAGAAATGAAACAGGAGATACTAAACTGACACCACTGAAATACAAAAGATCATTCAAGGCTACTATGAACACCTTTACACACATAAACTAGGAAACTCAGAATAGATGGATAAATTCCTGGAAAAATACAACAGTCCTAGTTTAAATCAGGAAGAATTAGATACCCTGAACAGACCGATAACAAGCAGCGAGATTGAAATGGTAATTAAACAATTACCAATGGCAACAGTCCAGGACCAGAGGGGTTCACAGCAGAATTCTACTAGACATTCAAAGAAGAATTGGCACCAATCCTTTTGACACTATTCCACAAGACGGAGAGAGAGAACCCTCCATAATTCATTCTATGAAGCCAGCATCCCTCTAATACCCAAGCCAGGAAAGAACATAACCAAAAAAGGAAACTACAGACTGATATCCCTGATGAACATGGATGCTAAAATCCTTAACAAAATACTAGCTAACTAAATCCAACAATATATCAAAACGAAAATCCACCATGATCAAGTGGGTTTCACACTAGGGATGCAGGGATGGTTTAACATATGCAAGTTTTCTGATATCAGATAAATGTACACGAATCAGTAGTTCTATACACCAATAGAGACCAAGTGGAGAATCAAATCAGTAACTCAAGCCCTTTTACAAAAGCTGCAAAAAACAAACAAACAAACAAATAAAAACCACCTAGCCAAGGAGAAGAAAGACCTCTACAAGGAAAACTACAAAACACTGCTGAAAGAAATCATAGATGACACAAATGGAAACATATTCCATGCTTATGGATGGGCAGAATCAATATTGTAAAAATAACCATACTGCCAAAAGCAATCTACAAATTCAATGCAATCCCTATCAAACACTACTGTCATTCTTCACAGAATTAGAAAAACAATTCTAAAATGCATATGGAATGAAAAGAGCCCACATAATCAAAGCAAGACTAAGCAAAAAGAACAAATCTGGAGGGATCACACTACCTGACTTCAAACTATACTCTACGGCCATAGTCACCAAAACAGCATGGTACCAGTATAAAAATAGGCACATAGACCAATGAAATAGAATAGAGAACCCATAAATAAACACAAATACTCACAGCCAACTGATCTTCAACAAAGCAAACAAAAACATGAAGTGGGGAAAGGACACCCTTTTCAACAAATAATGCTGGGATTACTGGCTAGCCACATGTAGGAGAATGAAACTGGATCTTCATCTCTCACCTTATATAAAAGTCAACTCAAAATGGATTAAGGACGTAAATCTAAGAGCTGAAACTATAAAAAATTCTAGAAAACAACATTGCAAAAACTCTTCTAGACACTGACACCTAAGCAGCAAGGATTTCATGACCAAGAACCCAAGAGCCAATGCAATAAAAACAAAGATAAATAGTTGGGACTTAATTAAACTAAAGAGCTTTTGCATGAAAAAAGGAACAGTTAGCAGAGTCAACAAACAATCCCCAGAGTGGGAGAAAATCTTCACTCTATACATCTGACAAAGGACTAACATCCAGAATCTACAAGGAACTCAAACAAATCAGTAAGAAAAAAATAAACAATTTCATCAAAAAGTGGGCGAAGGACATGAATAGACAATTCTCAAAAGAAGATATACAAATGGCCAACAAACATATGAAAAAATGCTCAACAACACTACAGATTAGGAAAATGCAAATTGAAACTACAATGCAATACCGCCTTACTCCTGCAAGAATGGCCGCAATCAAAAAATCAAAAAATGGTAGATGTTGGCGTGGATGCAGTGATCAGGGAACACTTCTACACTGCTGGTGGGAATGTAAACTAGAACAGCCACTATGGAAAACATTGTGGAGATTCCTTAAAGCACTAAAAGTACAACTACCATTTGATCCAGCAATCCCACTACTGGGTATCTACCCAGGGGAAAATAAGTCATTATACGAAAAAGATATTTGCACACGCACGTTTACAGCAGCACAACTCACAATTGCGAAATCGTGGAACCAACCCAAATGCCCACCAATCAACGAGTGGATAAAGAAACTGGTATATATATACACACATATATATGATGGTATACTACTCAGCATAAAAAGGAGTGAATCAACAGCATTTGCAGTGACCTGGATGAGACTGGAGACTATTATTCTAAGTAAAGTAACTCAGGAATGAAAAACCAAACATCGTTATGTTCTTATTGATATGTGGGAGGTAAGCTATGAGGACACAAAGGCATCACAATGATACAATGAGGGTTGGGCACAGTGGCTCACACCTGTAATCCCAGCACTTTGGGAGGCTAAGGCAGGTGGATCACAGAGTCAGGAGATCAAGACCAGCCTGGCCGAGATGGCGAAACCCTTCCTCTACTAAAAAATACAAAAATTAGCTGGGCATGGTGGCACTCGCCTGTAATCCCAGCTACTGGAGAGGCCGATGTAGATAATTGCTTGAACGCAGGAAGCGGAGGTTGCAGTGAGCTGAGATCGCGCCACTATACTCCAGCCTGGGTGACAGAGCAAAACTCTGTCTCAAAAAAAAAATTAAAAGGAAAAAAAGAATGATACAATGGACTCTGGGGGCTTCAGGTGAAGGATGGATGGGGGATGTGGGATAAAAGACTACAAATACGGTGCGTGTATACTGTTTGGGTGATGAGTACACCGAAATCTCACAAATTACCACTGAAGAACTTATCTAACCAAAAATTACCTGTACCACAATAACCTACGGAAAAAAAATTTTTTTAATTGAAAAAATAAAAATAACTGAGGCAAAGCATTATGACCAAAATGATAGTTCAATATTATTTTTAAAATATCAATTTTTAAATTTTGATATTTCATTAGCTTGTGATTATTGAGTGCTGGGTGAATTTCCTTGGTTATAAGCTGAAGAGGAATCAAATTTTACATCTCCTGAGTATACAATATCCTCTTCCCTCTTCAAATTTAAAACTTGCCAGTATTAGTTTGAAAAAAAATGAGATAACTGTTTTGTCATTTGTTCTGCTGAGAAACAATTGTGAAAACCAAAAGCAAACTTTCTAAGATACAAATGCATGCAGTTTAAATTATTTTGGGTGAGTCAGGCTTATAGAAAGCTCATATTAACATTAGATCTTTTGTTAAGCTGCAGTGATAGCCAGCACAGCATAAACGAAATTGGGGGAAAGATGGAAGCAGCAGCATATTAGAAACGAGGATAATGAATAAGTAAGAACTATGCAGAATTTAAAAACACAAATTTTTCAGTGTTTCATGCTGAATCTCATTCTCATGAGAGTTTATTTCCTTCTTGATATATGTATGAGTATGTTTAATTTGGTGTGCATTCAATAACTTTTTGTGAGTAAATTCTAAGCACTGCAAGATTTTACTTGAATACTATGATAATGTCCTCGAAAATTTTTTAATGTTTCTTATTAATTCCTTCATCGCCCCTTTAAATCAAAGGAGCTCTGAGAAACTTAGATGAAAATCTGGTTGCTTAACTGTTCAAGTAGTCCAGACATTAAGCGGTCTAGCTATATTAATAAGGAACAATCTTAATTCATAAAACTGTACATTTTTCTTCTTTCTAGGAGTCTGAAAAAAAAGAATTTAGAATCCAGAGAATAAGTTATTAGTAAATATTCACAAAATTAAAGATTCATTTTTTTTCCCACTTACTGTACAATCTGGGCGTGGGATATTGCGAGCCTTTGGTCAGCACATTCAATGATTTCTTCATATGATGTAACCTTGAAAAAAATCAGCTAAACTAATTATTTTTCATTCTAGAGTTTTAATTTTTTTCCTTTTTTATTACTACAAGTTGAAGTTTAATTATTTGACTATTAATGAAAGTTTCACCATAGGCAAAGCACCTTCCTTATGTTTTGAAATCAGGAATATGAAAACCAGAATTATAGCATGCCCATTCATCATGCAGAAAACAGGAAGTGCCAAAAATGGACAACAGTAATGAGTCAAGTATAATCCAGTTGTCTTCCAAATAAGTACTATATTCATCAACTACGTGTTATAGTTTATTTGGTTAAAGTTAATGCCGTTTTAATACGGTAAACTAAAACACTGAGTTGGCAAGATTTAGAATTATATCTGAAGTAGCAATACTCAGATTTTAAATTGCCAGCAGCAGAATGGATAGACACACACGACAATCTTTGATAGCTTTCAGCTAAAAGGATAATAGGGGTGTTTTATAATGTCATTATGAAGTAAAAGGGATCAATATAAATGTGCTACATCATCCTACAGACCCTTTTTAGCTCTAAAATTCTCTTAATATTTGTCATAGTTTTTAAAAGGCACAAATATTTCTGTGAGACAATCTGTACCAGGCCAGGATCAGTGTCTCAGGCCTGCAATCCTAGGACTTTGGGAGGCTGAGGCAGGAGAAATGCTTGAGACCAGGAGGTTGAGGCCAGCCTAGGCAACATACTGAGAACACATCTCCACAAAAAATAAAAAAAAAATTAGCCAGGTGTGGTGGCACATGCCTGTAATCCCAGCTACTCAGGAGACTGAGACAGGAGGCTTGCTTGAGCCCAGGGGGTTGAGGCTGCAGTGAGCTATGACTGCACTGCACTGTACTTCAGCCTGGGTAACAGAGTGAGATCTTGTCTCAAAAAACAAAAGAAAAAAAGTATGTACCTTATTTATCAAGTTGCCTAAATGTCTTTGATATTTGTCATTTTCTTCAATGAGTCTGTTGCAGTGGCTTTCTTTTGACTCTAGGACATGTTTCAATTTTGTGATCTATGGAGAAACATTAGTAAAAATACTAACCTGGAACCTGCTGTGAAAGCTACATATGGATGCCAAGAACAAATGAGAAAAGTGAGCAACACTTTATTCCAATATTCTCCTAAACCGAGTCATACCATAGGTGAAACATGAGATGCTATGAACCAGATAATGGTTAGATTCCACTTAGAACAGATAAACAAAAATTATAATGGGGTTTTACCTTTTCTCTTTATAGTATAAAAAGCTTTTCAAATAACTGAACACCTATTGGTACATATAAATATTTTCAGCTCCAAATCTTAATTGTTGTCTTACCATATATAGCCAATGCATAGACATATTTGATTCTATATGAAGTAAAGCACTGATGTTTTCAAGTTTGAGAAATACTCTCCCTTGCATAAATGACTGCAAGTTTTTAAAAAGGTTCAGCTTAGGGGCCGGGTGCGGTGGCTCACGCCTGTAATCCCAGCACTTTGGGAGGCTGAGGTGGGCGGATCATGAGGTCAAAAGATCGAGACCATCCTGGGCAACATGGTGAAACCCCGTCTCTACTAAAAATACAAAAAAATAGCCGGGCATGGTGGCACATGCCTGTGGTCCCAGCTACTAGGGAGGCTGAGGCGGAAGAATCGCTTGAACCCAGGAGGCGGAAGTTGCAGTGAGCCGAGATTGGGACACTGCACTCTAGCCTGGTGATAGAGCAAGACTCTGTCTCAAAAAAAAAAGGTTCAGCTTAATGTAGTTCATGTTCTGACCTATGGTCCAATTTTTATTTGTAAGAAAGCCATTAAAAGTGAAAAATTATGTGACATCTAAAATTATCAGGAAATGGTATTCACAAGTTCCCCTAGCAGTTACCTTAATTTTCAAAGCAGTTATAGAAGAAAAATGAGAAAATTTTCCATAAAATAACAATGTTAAATGACTTTCAATTATCTAATGTTTTATTTTTATTTTATTAATTTTTTTGAGAAGGAGTCTTGCTCTGTTCCCCAGGCTGGAGTACAGTGGAGCGGTCTCAGCTCACTGCAACCTCCACCTCTTAGGTTCAAGTGATTCTCCTGCCTCAGCCTCCTGAGTAGATGGTATTACAGGAGCATGCCATGATGACTGGCTAATTTTTGTATTTTTAGTAGAGATGGGGGTGTCACCATGTTGGCCAGGCTGGTCTTGAACTCCTGACCTCAGGTGAGCCTCCCACCTCAGCCTCCCAAAACGCTGAGATTACAGGTGTGAGCCACCAAACCTGGCCTAATGTTTTAAATACATTTATGTGTCTGTCGTGAAGAACCCTAGAGGAATCAATGGCAGAGCAAATTTGCAGCGGAAATAGCAACTTTCTTTCTCTTATATGAATAAATTAATGAGGACAATATCAAATCAGTGGTCCTACTTCTCCAACAACATACATTATTTAAGGTACTTAATGCAGCTATTATTACTTCAATTTAACAGTTGGAACCAAAGTGAAGAACATTTAAAACATTTTTGAGGTAGAAAATGCTAGAATCTGTATTTCTCAGCTATTAATGTTGGCTCTTCTCATTGCATCTCCTCACTGGAGCGGCGAGTTCTACCCTTGGCTTCACATGCTTCATGGCACTTGACTGAAGCAATGTGGAATTCCTTCTCAGTTCCTGTTTTTTATTATAGACTTCATAGAACACTTTTAATTTTTTAATAGCTTTCAAGATCAAAGTAACAACCCTTTTAAGCTGCAGATCGATTTTTTAAAACTTGCTAACCTCAGATTAAAGAAAGAATAGCAGGGGGAGGATTCAAGATGGTTGAATAGGAACAGCTCTGGAGTGCAGTTCCCAGAAAGAACAACGCAGAGGGTGAGTGTCCACCGCATTTCCAAACAAATTTTCACTGCCCACAGACCAGGAGAATCCCGGGCTGAAAAGTGCCATGAGTTTTCAGCATGGCAGTTTCAGCCAGTGCTGGGTTGGCTCATGGAAACTCACACAAATCTGGGCATGATTTCAACTGGCACCTGCAACACCTGGGAGACAGAGCCACCCATTCAACTGAAAGGGAGTGGGCAGAGAGGGAGCCAGGTGACTTGGCTTAGTGGATAACACCCCCACAAAACAAGCAATCTAAAATGCTCTGGATTGAGAGTTTTGCAGCAAGCACAGCTGGACACAGGATAGTCCAGCTCAGTGGGGGGAAGGGTGACTACCATTACTGAGGCAGTTCACACAGCAGCTGGGCAGAGCCTGTGGCAGCTCAGCAACGCCCCTGCTGGGTAGACTGACTAGACTACTCCATGTGGGGCAGGACATCTATGAAAAAAGGCAGCAGCACAACAGGAACTTATAAATAAAGCTGATCTTCCTAGGACAGAGCACCTGGGAAAAGAGGCGGTTATGAGTTCAGCTGCAGCAGACTTAAAAGTACCTGCCCACAGCTCTGCATAGAACAATGGAGCTCCCAGCACAGCACTTGAGCTCCTATAAGGGACACACTGTCTCCTCAAGCAGCTCCCTAACCCCATATATCCAAAGAGACACCTCATAAAGGAGAGCTCAGGCTGACATCTGGCAGGTACCCTTCTAGGACAAAGATAACAGAAGAAGAAATCAGCAGCAACCCTTACTGTTCTGCAGCCCCCGTGGGTGATCCCCAGGCAAGCAGGGTCTGGAGTGGACATCCAGCAGTCCTGCAGCAGAGGGGCCTGCCTGTTAGAAGCAAAACTAAGAAACAGAAAGAAAAAATTTCATCATTAACAAAAAGGACATCCACTCAGAGACCCCATCTGAAAGTCACCAACTACAAACACCACAGGTAGATAAATCCACAAAGATGGGAAGAAACCAGCGCAAAAAGGATGAAAACATGAAAAACCAGAATGCCTCTCCTCCTCCAAAGCATCACAACTCCTCACCAGCTAAGGATCAAAGACAGATGGAGAATGAATCTGATGAATTGACAGAAACAGGTTTCAGAAGGTGGGTAATAACAACCTTCTCAGAGCTAAAAGAACATGTGCTAACCCAATGCAAAGAAACTAAGAACCTAGAAAAAAGGTTACATGAGACGCTAACTAAAATAAACAGCTTAGAGAAGAATATAAATGACTTGATGGAACTGCAAAACACAGCCTGAGAACTTCGTGAAGCATATACAAGTTTCAATAGCTGAATCGACCAAGCAGAAGAAGGGATATCAGAGACTGAAGATTAACTCATTGAAATAAAACAAGAAGACAGGAATAGAGAAAAAAGAGTAAAAAACCAACAAAGCCTCCAAGAAATATGAGATTATGTCAAAAGACCTAATCTACGCTTGATAGGTGTACCTGAATGTAACAGAGAGAATGAATCCAAGCTGGAAAACACTCTTCAGAATATTATCCAGGGGAACTTCCCCAACCTAGCAAGCCAGGCCACCATTTAAGTCCAGGAAATACAGAGACCACCACAAAGATATGCCTCAAGAAGAGCAACCCCAAGGCACATAATCATCAGATTCACCAGGGTTGAAATCAGGGAAAAAATGCTAAGGACAGCCAGAGAGAAAGTTCGGATTACCCACAAAGGGAAGCCCATCAGACTCACAGCAGGTATCTCAGCAGAAACCCTACAAGCCAGAAGAGAGTGGGGGCCAGTATTCAACATCCTTAAAGAAAAGAACTTTCAACCTAGAACTTCATATCCAGCCAAACTAAGCTTCATAAGCAAAGGAGAAAGAAAATCCTTTATGAACAAGCAATTGCTCAGAGATTTTGTCCCACCCCAGGCCTGCCTTACAAGAGCTCCTGAAAGAAGCACTAAACAAGGAAACGAACAACCAGTACCAGCCACTCCAAAAATGTACCAAATGACACAATGAAAAAAATGCGTCAACTAATGGGCAAAACATCCAGCTAGCATCAAAATGGCAGGATCAAATTCACACTTAACAATATTAACCTTAAATGTAAATGGGCTAAATGCCCCAATCAAAAGACACAGACTGGCAAACTGGATTAAAAGTCAAAACCCATCAGTGTGCTGTATTCAGGAAACCCATCTCATGTGTAAGGACACACATAGGCTCAAAATAAAGGGATGAAGGAAGATTTATTTTTATTTATTTATTTATTTTTGAAAGAAAGAAAAAAAAGGAGTGAAGGAGAGAAAGAAAGAGGAAGAAAAAGGAGAGAGAATGGGAATGTAGCTTTATTCTAAAAATGGGTATTAATAATGGCCGATCAATATTTTGTGTATTTAAGGTGGAGAATATATATTTTGTGTATTTAAAGTGGAGAGCTCTATAAATATTTATTGAGTTTACTTGTTCCTGATCTGAGTTCAAGTCCTGGATATCCTCATTAATTTTCTGTCTCGTTGAGTCTAAATCTCTTTATGAGTCTTATGTATCTGGGTGTTAGGATCATTAGCTCTTATTGTTGCATTGATCCTTTTACCACTATATCTTTGTTGCTTTGAAATCTATTTTATCAGATGAGAGAATTGCAACTCCTGCTTTTTATTTATTTATTTATTTTTGCCCTTCATTTGTTGGTAAATCTTTCTCCAACCCTTTGTTTTAAGTCTTTGTGTATTTTGGATGTGAAATGGGTCTGGATGTAGCATACTGTTAGATTTTGGCTGTATCTTTTGACTGGGGGATTTAGTCAACTTAAATTTAGGGTTACTGCCATTTGATGTTAACTGGCTATTTTATCCATTCGTTGATGTAAATTCTTCTTTATGTTGATGCTCTTTACTTTTTGATATATTTTTAATGGATTTTTAATGGGATGGAGGAAGATTTATCCAGCAAATGGAGAGCAAAAAAAAGCAAGAGTTGCAATCCTAGTCTCTGATAAAATGGACTTTAAACCAACAAAGATCAAAAGAGACAAAGAAGGGCGTTACATAATGGTAAAAGGATCAATGCATCAAGAAGAGCTAATGATCCTAACTATATATGAACCCAATAAAGGAGCACCCAGGTACATAAAGAAAGTTCTTAATGACCTCTGTTTTTTTGCATTTGCTGAAGAGTGATTTACTTCCAAGTATGTGGTCAGTTTTAGAGTAGGTGTGATGTGGTACTGAGTAGAATGTATATTCTGTGGATTTGGGGTGAATTCTATAGGTATCTATTAGGTTTGCTTGGCCCAGATCTGAGTTCAAGGCCTGGAATATCCCTTGCTGTTTTCTGATTTGGGCTATTTATTATAAATAAAGCTACAAAGACCTCATACATCTTTGTATGAACATATGCTTTCACTCTCTCAGGTAAATATCTTGGAGTAGGAGAGGCACAGTGTCTCATGTCTATAATCCCAATGCTTTGGGAGGTGGGAGGATTGCTTGAGCCCAGGAGTTTAAGGCTAGACTAGGCAACATAGTAAGACTCCATCTTCACAAAAAAAAAAAAAAAAAAAAAAAAAAATTTCATTGGCTAGGGCTGGTGATGTGCACCTGTAGTCCCAGGTATTCTGGAGGGTGAGGTGGGAGACTGCAGTGAGCCAAGATTGCGCCACTACACTTAAGCCTGGGTGACAGAGCGATACCCTAGCTCTTAAGAATAATAACCAAAAAGAAAAAAAAAAACTAGGAGTAGAATAATGGTAGCTGTGTGTTTAACTTTTAAAGCCACTGCCAAATGTTTTCCAAAGTGGTTGTACGATTTTACATCCCAACCAGTAGTGAATGAGAGTTGTATTTGCTCCACATTCTCTCCAAGCTTTGGTAGTCAGTCTTTTTAATTTTAGATATTCTAGAAGGGGTACAGTGGTATTCACTGTGGTTTTAACTTGCATCTTGATGTTATCTCTCCCACCTCTTCAGCACCTCCTTTCCTGTGTGGCCTGCCCGTGTGTGCTGTAGCACAGAGCACAGACGCAGACCCACGGAAGTGGTGATGGGCCTCACTGACTGCCTTGAAGATGTAGGCCCTAAGGTCAGGGATGAGTTAGGCAGAGGCTGAATGCCTGCGTCGGGTCATGTCCACAGCAACAGACATTTGACACAGTAGAAGAGGAAGTCCTCTTGGAGAGCTGCTACCTGGGCAGTGTGGACAACAGCCACCAAGAGGCAGAGAAGCCAGAATGAGGTTCACTCAGTCCAGGTGGGACTGCTCCGTCATAAGCCCTCCAGAGAAAGATATCCTGGGTTTGGTCCTCTCTGTATCCCAGATTGGTGGACATAGTTCCAAGTTAATAACATTTTAACATATTAAGTTGCTTCAATATATTATGAGGCACTGAAATCCAAATCACTAAACAATTGAGGTCAACACATCTTGTATTTACTTTCTGTTGCTGCTATCACAAATTATCACACACTTAGTGGCTTCACACAACACAAAGTCATTATCTTACAGTTCTGTAAGTGGGAAATCTGGCACAGGTGTCACTGGGCTAAAGTCAGTGTTAACAGGGCTATGTTCCTTTCTGGAGGCCTTAAGGGAGACTTTCCAGCTTCTAAAGGCTGCCCATATATTTTGCGTAGGTCCCCTCCCTTCATCTTCACAGCCAGCAAGTGTTGTACTTTGAATATTCTTTAGCAGTCAAATCTCCCTCTGACATGTCTGAGAAAGGTCCTCTACTTTTAAGAACTTGTGATTACAATGGACCAACCCTGATAATGCAGAATAATCTACCTGTGCATCTCAATGCCCTTGATTTAATCATATCTGCAAAGTCCATTTTGTCATGTTCTGGGGACTACGGTGTGGAAATCTTTCAGGTGCCATTATCCTGCTACCACACACCTGAGGCCTTCCATGATTTGAGATGCAGGTGGCCTGGCCATATGGCAAAGCCAGTGTATTTAGCTCTATCTAGGTCATAATTCAAGGTTTCCCACGAGGCTTTTACTTACATTAACACATTTTCCTCATATAGGGTTGTTTTACATTCTGGTAGTGTCAGCTTAGAAAGAAAGTATGTCAAGGTAGACACCAAAGAACAACTCAGTAAAAGTAATTTTGCGAGGGCCAAAATAGTATGTTCCAAGCAGCAGCTTTCAGATCATCAACGTGATTCAGGTTATGACTCTTTCTTAAGTGGAAAAATGAATTTATGACCAACATAAAAAAATGAAATAGAACAGAACAAAACAATTTAAAAACACAATGTTTCAGCTGTGTGTGTGTCTGCATATAAATATTTCAGCACGATGTAAAATGTATTTTTTTTAAACTGAGGATTACTACTAGAGGAATGAAAAAACTGCAAAGATAATCCTTCAGAGATGCAGCTCTTAAACAAGCTTTTTTTTTTTTTTTTTTTTTTTTTTTAAAGCACCACTAAAGGGACGACATTTATTCCTTTTCCAAATGTTACAGTAAAACCAGGTGGAAGAGAATGGTTTTAGCAGTTAGAAAAAAAAAAAGTACAAATCTGGGGTTTGGCCATTGAAAGTTATTTACAACAATGGGAGAAAAACAGACAACAAGAAGTTGTTTCACATTGCAGACCTCCCCCTACCCCAAAGCCTAATACTTGCTTACCAAGTCAAAAAAGAGACACAGTTGATTCACAAGCTGGAGGTTTGAACTTGAGTAAGACATTTATAAAAACCTAGACGGGGCAGTGTCCTCCCCAGCCCAGGTGCCACTAGGCACAGCACAAGAGACTAAAAACAACAGGGGAAGGCTGGACACTCAAGGTTTGGGAGTATAAGCACCCCACTTCTGGCTCAGGGATTTGGGGAGTAGGGTAAACAAAACCTACTTGGAAAAGAATTGAGGAAGAAAACCAACAATTGCCTTATGTAGGGGTGGGGACAGGGAAGGAGGTAGGGCCAGGGACAGGAGCATTTCACATCACTAACCTAACTTGGGAAGCTGTAAGGGACCATCTTCAACTGGCCTAAAGAGGAGAACCAGATGACTGATGGGAGAATCCACAGGAGGGAGAGGAGGAAAGGGAATGTGGCTGGGAGGTGGCAATAGCCCCTTTCTTTCTGGGCACAGGAAGGCAGCCAGGGCACCAGGTCAGGCAGTGACCTCACAAGGACAGCACAGTTTTTGCAGCTTAGAGATCACCCATCTGCCCCCACCTAGCTACTCATTCTGCTCAGCTGGTGTAGGGCCACTCTCCCGCCCTGAGGGACTGGATGGCTCTGTAGCCTGGGGCTCTGCCTCTTCTTCTGAGGCCGCACTAGCCTCTGCCCCCTTGGCCTTGGGGCTCCTGGCTCTCAGGGGTGGCAGCAGCCTTCCCTTCCTGGGCAGTGCCCTCACCCACGTCGCTGCAGGCACCGATCTCCCTCTGCTCCTGCTCTTCCTCTGTGGGTGAGGAGGCAGAAGAATCACCCCCACCCTCCTTCCTATTTCTCTTGAAGGACAGGCCGCTCAATTTGAAAGGCTTCTTGAAAGAGAATTTCTTCTTCTTCTTGGGGGTCGCCTTGGGAGGGACCTCCCCCTTGGCCTCAGCACCCTGGCTAGGGGGCGCTGGCTCGATGGCATCGCCAGTGGCTCCTGCTGCCTCATCTGTTCCGTTCACAGGGGGCGACTCCCCTTCACCCTTGGCGGATAAGTCTCCATTGCTTTTCACGTGGCCATTCTCCTGGCCGTTGGCCTTCGCCGGGGAAGCGCCTGCGGCCTCCTCGGTGGTCACGTCGCCCCGGGGAGCCTTGGAGCTCTGGCTACCCATGATGGGGGTCTGCTGGGGGGCGCCCGGAGCTGCCCCGGGCTCGCGCCGCAAGGAATAGTACGGCGGGGTCGGCCAGGCCAGCAGAGGGGTGGGGCTGGCGCCCGAGGGGGAGGGGTGTCGGGGGAAGCCGAGCTGCACCTCCGCTCCGCGCCAGAATGCCCTAAACAAGCTTTCTTTCTTTCTTTCTTTCTTTTTTTTTTTTTTTTCTTGAGACGAAGTTTACCTCTTGTTACTCCAGGCTGGAGTGCAATGGCACGATCTCCGCTCACTGCAACCTCCACCTCCTGGGATCAGGCAATTCTCCTGCCTCAGCCTCCTGAGTAGCTGGGATTACAGGCACGCACCACCATGCCCAGCTAATTTTCTGTATTTTTGGTAGAGACGGGGTTTCACCATGTTGACCAGGATGGTCTCGATCTCTTGACCTTGTGATCCATCCGCCTCGGCCTCCCAAAGTGCTGGGATTACAGGCGGGAGCCACTGGGCCCGGCCAACAAGCTCTTTCTAAGAGCTGGTCAGGAAATAGATTGATGTGATATCCTTCAGCAAGGTTCCCTAGTGCAAATATTGTTTCCCATACTTGCTTTAGAATGAAAATTAGGAACATCAGAACCAGGAAGGTGAGGAATAGGGTCAGAGTACTAGAAGGACTACTGTAAAATGCCAGGATGCTTTAGAGAACAAGAAAACAGATGGTAAGGTTGACATATTCTTATGTAAACTAAAGATGTCAGATTCCATCTGACTGGACAGTCCTTCCACCTGTGTGACCCAAGTTCTAGTGATGACCCTAGTCTCTTCCTTAGGAGGCTGGTCAATGGCAGAGAGGCCCGCCAACCATAAAGTATACAAAGCCCTTTTTGTCTTGAAAATTTTCACACAAGACTAAAGAATAATATAATGAACCTCCATATTTCTATCACATAACTTCAACAATTATCCACATTTTCTATTCCTACTATGCCACCTTTTTGTTCTACTGGAGTCCTTTAAAGCAAATCTTGTCATCATATTAATTCACTTATAAATACTTTCAAAATGTAATAACTAACAGGCTGGGCGCAGTGGCTCATACCTGTAATTCCAGCACTTTGGGAGGCTGAGGTGGGCAGATCACCTGAGCTCAGGAGTTCATGACTAGCCTGAAACCCTGCCTCTACTAAAAAATACAAAAATTAGCTAAGCATAGTGGCAGGTGCCTATAATTTCAGCCACTTAGGAGTCTGACGCAGGAGAATCACTTGAACCTGAGAGGCAGAGGTTGCAGTGAGCCAAGATTGTGCCACTGCACTCCAGCCAGGGCAACAGAGGGAGATTCTGTCTCAAAAAAAACCCAAATGTAATACTAACAGATAAGGATTTTAAAACACAATCATACCACTATCACATCTATTAAAATAAATGATAATTTCTTAATTTCTTTTCTAGATTCCTTAGTAGCAGGTTTTATGTTTTGTTTCGCTTTCTATCTCCTTAGTGATTAGCTTGTTTAATCTTTTCTGGGAAGTCAGTAATTGCTTCTTAAATGAAAAAAAAATTAGAAAAGAGGAAAGCTTTGAACCTTCACATTATTAGACACTTTCTTTTCTATTAAAGGTGAATATATATCTAATGAATTTAGTAGAGAATGCTATTTTTTAATCATTTAAAAAATATGATGGTAGACTTAGCTAATTAACGCCTATAAAAATTCATTATGTTACTGAATTTTTAGCCATTTTCATTTAATGAGATCCAACTGAATTCCTAAATTGGTCTATAACTATCTAGATTCTAAGATCACATTTTCATTTTCTTCTAACATATTTTTCCTATTTTATCTGCCTTTATCTTTACAATGCCATCTAAAGTCAACTATGAGTGTTAGTTCCTAAAGCACACCTTAAACACGGTTGTTGTACACAGCTACACTGTAGCATATGCAAGAGTATTAAGTGTACTTCATTTACTATGAAAAAACAGCATGCATTTTTTAATTTATGCATTTGGAAAGAAATAAATCTGGTTAAACAGAAGCGAGGTAGAACAATATTTAAAATTTCAAAATCCAAAAATGCAAACTTCAATTCTATATTCTTATGGGTAAATAATGCCACAATACCAGTGTGTGACCATTTTAATAAGGCCAATTTTTTGAAGGATGATAATTTCTTAAACTTGTTAGTAAAATAACGTAGTGTATAAAAATAATAGGAAGGCAACAAAAGGTCTTCCTTACCAGGAAATCAAGCTCCTCATTTAGACTGTGGTACTTATCCAGTTTGGCTCCCAGCAAGGTAGTTACATATCGGACACTCTTGGCTTCATCTGAATCACAGTCTGTGACCTGAGATTAAATATATTTCCTCTCACTTTCAATAGTTTCATATTCCTTGGAATATTTGACAGTAAGTACTTTATTAGTTTAAAAGTCAAAGAGATTGTCAGTGGCTGGAATCATAAGTGTAGAACTTAGAACTAGGACCTCAACAAATTTACCAAAAGAACATAAATATCTGAAATTGTACATTCTTATGTTAAAGACAGTACATAGTATATTAAGCTCACCTCAGTAGTATGATCTTGAAATGATTTTTCATTAGCAATTAACTCTCTAAAGGTTGTGATTCTATCTTTATGTTTGAGTAGCTAAAAAAAGAAAAACATTTTGTATTTTAGAGAGGAAATACAACTACATTACAATATTTATAATAATAAAACCATGCACAGTCTAACCTCTAGCCTTCAAAAAACATATGAAAAAAATATTTTTACAGCTGTCATTAGGAAAAATTCACACAGTAGGTCTAAGACTGCTAGGCTTAGAGAGGCCTGCTGGCAAAGCTGCCTGTGACTAGCATTTGGAAAGGGGCTGCGGGAAGTTTTCCACCATTCTCTGATGTAAGTGGCTTATGGTGCTTAACCTACTTGCCCAAAGCATTTCAGTTAAGCTGAGCATCTGCTTTCCTTCCAGGGGACTAGAATTTTGATACATACTAGGCAGAGGATGCTTATGTGAACAGCTCCTGATAAAAACCTAGGGCATTGGATCTCTAAGAAGTCTCACTGGTAGCACTGCATCTGTGGTTACAACTCATTGCTGGGGCGAATAAAATGCATCCCATGTAACTCCATGAGGACTCTTGGGAGCTTGCGTCTTGCTTCCTCTGGATGATGCTCCTGTGTCTTTCCCTTGGCTGATTTTGCTTTGTACCCTTTGCTGTGGTAAGTCACAGCAGTTTGGACGACTCACAGTCCTTCAGCAAATCATCAAACCTGGGATGGTTTTGGAGTCTCCAAGGAGTTATCCTAACATACAATTGTTGTTACAGTCAGGCTATTAAAATTCTTCTTTAAAAAAAAAAATTAGCCAATGGGTGTAATTTATAATCATTTCTTATTTGTTCCTTCAGTATAATAATCTTAATATCCAATATTCAAACTGTTCCAAAATGATTAGTGAAGTGTGGGGCACAAAATATTTTTTATTATTTATTATGAAAACTTTACAATATTTAAAATAGAGAAAAAAACTTTAATGAACCCCATGTAACTATCATTCAGCTTCAATAACTAATAGCTAATGGTCAATGTCATTTATATCCTCAATCACTGCCATCTTCCCTCCAACCCCCTTCATTGAATCAAACTGCAGACATCATATCACCTGTCAGTACTTCCGTAATTACACAGAAATTAACCAAAATAATATAAATATCTGAAGTAAATATTTTTGAGGTTTTTTGTTTATTTGCTTTTTGTCATTTTTGTTGTTTGTTTATTTTGAGACAGGGTTTTAGACTTGCCTCAATACAGCCTCAACCTCCGTGCACTCAGGTGATCCTCACACCTCGGCCTCTGGAATAGCTGGGACACAGGGGTGTGCCACTTGTGTCCTGGCTAATTTTTGTACTTTTTGTAGAGATGGAGTTTCCCCACGTTGTCCAGGCTGGTCTCAAACCCCTGGGCTCAGATCATCCACCTGCCTCAGCCTCCCAAAATTCTGGGATTACAGGCGTGAGCAACTGTGCCCAGCCTGAAATGTTATTTTTGTAATATCCTCAGTTGGGCTTATTTTTGAAAGCTGTTTACAGAAGTGGAAGCCAGTCGTTTCTCTGCATGGCTGCGCTCATACCTTGGCCCTGTCCTCCACAGGCTGGCTAGGAGGCAGAGAGATTCCCCAGGAACCTCTGCAACATATCAGTTCAGACAAGTGCTACAGAACCGAATTTGTTATGACCCAAGATTCCAGGTTTGAATTTGTTTTGATTCCTTTAACCAGATAAAGTTGTCATTTCTGCATTCCTCTCAGATTCAAAATGGTACAATTTGACATCCTGTTATAACATTCCCTATTTAATTCTCTTCATTTTATCTTTCAATCTCTAAACCACCACACTAAGTAAAGAGTAATTGAGGCTGGGTGTGGGGGCTCACGCCTGTCATCCCAGAACTTTGGGAGGCCAAGGCAGATGGATCACCTGAGGTTAGGAGTTTGACATCAGCCTGGTCAACATGGTGAAACCCTGTCTCTGCCAAAATACCAAAAATACAAAAATTAGCTGGACATGGTGGCATGCACTGGTAATCCCAGCTCCTTGGGAGGCTGAGGCAAGAGAATCTCTTGACATGGAAGGTGGAGGTTGCGGTGAGCCGAGATCACATCATTGAACTCCAGCCTGGGTGACAGAGCAAGACTCTGTCTCAAAAGAAGAGCAAAGCAAAGGAAAGGGAAGGAAAGAGAAGAGTAACTAAAGAAAATCCAAGAACCTCTGCCCTTACCCTTCACCCACCTGAGAAATAAAATTGTTTTCAATGTTTCTATTATTCCAAAGGATGAAGTTTGAAATTGAGCTAAGAAAGTCAAAATAAACTACACTTCAGGAATCAGTAGTACTGTGCAAAAATGAAAAAAATTATTATACTAAATCTTTTGTAGGTGAATGAGATTTTCCAATAGAGACAAGTAATAAAACAAGTCAAATGTTGAACATTTTATTTCTTTAGTGAGGGGCACAGTAAGACCAATCTGGCCCCCAAAATAATGTTTAAAATGATTCCAACTTTAACAGTTACTTCTTCACTACCTTTTAACTATTTTTTCACTGAAAATAATATAATTTTTAGATGAATAATAAATATAATACCTCTTTATCTAAAGTTTTCTTTTTAAGATGGAGACTCTTCAGTTTTCGCAGCATTATATCACTAACTTTCTCACTCTCTTCGAAATGTTCAGCATCAGAGTCGGTGACGTCCTAAGGGTAACAGTTTCAGAAACTAGATGAAAAAGTTTTTAGGAAAGCTAAAACAAGGCCAAAAAATGCATGAGAAACAAAAAATCTTCCAATAAATAAGCAAATCCAAAGAGGTAAAATCATAGTAAACTCCATTTTTCAATTACTCATCAGAAGGCATCTAATACAGGATTAGTACGGAAAGACTTCCTTTTTTTTTTTGAGATAGTATTTCGCTCTTTCACCTAGGCTGGAGTGCAGTGGTGCAATCTTGTCTCACTGCAACCTCCACCCTCTGAATTCAAGCGATTGCCTGCCTCAGCCTCCCAAGTAGCTGGGATTACAGGTGCCTACCACCACACCTGGTTAATTTTTGTATTTTTAGTACAGATGAGGTTTCACCATGTTAGCCAGGCTGGTCTCAAACTCCTGACCTCAGGTGATCTACCTGCCTCAGCCTCCCAAACTGCTGGGATTACACATGTGGGCCACTGCGGCTGGCCCAAGACTTCATATTGATTTTCACTTGTACATGTCATTATTGGAACAGACTCATGTAGTTCCCAGGAAGCTAATATTCATCTATAATAACTATGCATGCTTACATATTAATACGTACATTCCCCTTCCTTAGTCTAGTCAGTTTACAAATTTGAATTAAACAGATTGTTATACTTGACACCAGAACAATCAGACATCTCAACAGTACTAAAACTCTAGGTATTTTAAGGGTACCCTGAATGAAGGTACTTGTCCCAATATAACCTAGGGGTCAAAAGTGCATAGGTTGTGTCTGAGTTATGTGACTTAATCATATGTGAGACTTTGGACAAAAAAACTTAACTATTCTAACCCTTGGTTTGTTTCTCTGTGTTTAAAAAAAAAAAAAAAGCCTAAGAATACAAAGAATGATGTAAGGATTGAATGAGATAATCCATGAAAATCAGGACAGGAAAGTAAAGTGCTCCCAAGAAAAGATCAGGAAATCAGTAAATACTTGATGAGTGCCCATTATGAAATTAAACCTATATTAGGTATTAGGCATGGCTAATATGCCTCGTTACATACAAGCCTCTGATCTTGAAGGCTTCTGTTCCAGTGGGGGTAGGAGGTACAGAATAAGGAAACAGAGAATATTTCTTTGGGGCAGGATGAGATCTAAGAAGGCTGGTGACATGCCCTATCATTGAGAAGTCTGGAGAAAAGAAGCAACCAGCAAATAAGACTGTGAAAGAAAAGCAGCCAGCACCGAGACAGAGGAAACCTGAGCAAATATGGTGAATAAGCAAATGTTTGCAGGGACAAGGTGGGGTGGAGAAGTTTGCAGCAAAGAATAATCTGTGCCACATCCAAATCCAAATATTATCAGCACCACAGGAAAGGTAAAACATTAAAAAAAAAGATGTAAAAAATTTAAATATTAAAAAACCAAAATTTAGGTGGACAGAGCCTGTGGGCTACCACTTTGAGATCTCCATATAAAATGTTTGGTCCAGTTTCTAGCATGCAACACACACTAGTTCTCAATAAATTTTAGCTACTATAAAACAGAAATAGGATTTGTGTTGGATCAAGAACATAACAAACCCACACCCCCAATTTCTGGCTCAGATGAGTGCACTTAAGATCTAAGAAATGTACAATAATAGAAGAGGAAGAAAGAGAGCTAGCCAGTTTTAGAATCTATTGAGTGCATGTCCTTTATTTATTTTTTTATTTTTATTATTTTTTTTGAGATGGAGTCTCACTCTGTTGCCAGACTGGAGTGCAGTGGCTCGATCTTGGTTCACTCCGTCTCCTGGATTCAAGTGATTCTCCTGCCTCAGCCTCCCAAGTAGCTGGGATTACAGGCTCACACAATCACTCCTGGCTAATTTTTGTATTTTTAGTAGAGATGGGGTTTCACCATGTTGGCCAGGCTGGTCTCGAACTCCTGAGCTCAGGTGATCCACCTGCCTCGACCTCCCAAAGTGCTGGGATTACAGGCGTAAGCCACCACACCTGGCGGCCATGCATGTAATTTAATTAGTTATTTTCATTAAATGCAGTGCTTATAGGCTCCGAGGACAGCAGTATCATTCCCCCATCTTAAAGATGAGGAAACTGAAGTAGAGGTTAGGTTACTTGGCCAAGTTACACAGCTAGGAAATGATGAAGCTGGCATGTCAACTCCTCTGACAGCATCTTCACTTTTTATTCTACTAATGTACACAACTCTACACTGCCCTTCCTCCACTCATAACCAAAAGTGATATTTAGATTGGGCAAACAGTTCATTAATGTGAACAATTACTAATCACTAGGCACAGACTGACCCAGAGTACAAGACTACTGCTCTGGGAGGGCATCTCTGAAATGTGGGAAGTACTAAATAAAGGGGTTCTCTTTATCTTATTACATTTTATCTTTCTGTACACTTGTGAAAATTAGGTGTTCAAGAAAGTAAACAGAAAGAAGGCATGGGGCAAAGAGGGGCTAACTGGATGGCTTAGGGGTCTGTATTTTTTCTTCAATTCTTCATTTTTTTCTTCCACAACTTAATTCCTTTATTTCCTCTCTTTTAGTCCAACTCCAGTATTTATTCCTCCCCTACTAAAATATCTGATATATATGTTTTATTACCTGGCACGTAAGACGTCTTACCATCAGAGCCAGAAGTCTGTGCACTTCGGAGTCCAGCTGAGAAGATCTTTTGCTATCGTCAGGATTCAGGCTCTTTTCTTCACAAGGTAAGCAATCCGGGAGCAGGTTAGACTGTGTCATTTTTGTATCCTACATGCACATAATTCACATTTGTCAAAATAAAGATGAAGAACCTGAAATGTCTTTTAAGTAAAATGCTGAATGAATGGAATCCCACATTTAAAAACCTTGGGTGATAGTTCTCAAACTTTTTGACCTTAGGATCCCTTTAGAAATTAAAACTGAGGATATTTAAAAATATTTGCTTACTAATTCTTTTAAAGCAGCAATAAATCCATTATGCATAAACAGAAATAACAATTTATTTATTGATTGATTTTTGAGCCAGGGTCTCAACCTGTCACACAGGTGGGAGTGCAGTAGTGGGAACACGTCTCACTGCAGCCTCAAATGCCTAGGCTCACACAATCCTCCCACCTCAGCCTCCCCAGTAGCTAAAACCACAGGTGCATGCCACCACGCCAAGCTAATTTTTCAAATTTTTTATAGAGATCGGGTCTTGCCATGTTGTCCAGGCTGGTCTTGAACTCCTGGGCTCAAGCAATGTTCTTGCCTTGGCCTCCCAAAGTGCTAGAATTACAAGTATGAACCACAGTGCCCAACCAATAACCATTTTTAAATAAAACAATTATCACATTTTTCAAAACAAAAAAGTGAAAATGTGGCACTGTTTTACATTTTTTGCAAATATTTTTAATGCTGGCTTAATTGAAGACAACTGGATTCTCATATTTGCTTCACACACATTCCATCAGTCATGAGAGCAATTACATCATCACACATCAGGTAGCTTCTGGAAAACTCCACTGTACACGTGAAAAAATGAGAGTAAAAAGGGCAATGTCTTAATATTACTATAAAAATACTTTTGATTTCACAGATACTCCCAGACCATATTTAGAGAAAAGAGAACTAGAGTTCATGAAAAGCAAAACTATAAGCAAAGTAAATATGAATTAAGAATGTTAGGGAAATTGGTCAAAATAAGGAACTTAAAAAAAAAAGCTCAAGAAGAAAAGTATATACCATGCCAAATTCTGTATAATTAAACTAGTTCATTCAGAGCTTACCAATTCAAAATTCATCATGATTTGGTTAGGAGCTCAATTTAAGGTGGCTTAGGTCTCAGTGGTTCTCAAAAGTGTGGTCCCAGGACCAGCAGCATCAACAACTGGGATTTTGCTAGAAATGCACGTTCTCAGGCCCCATCCCAGAACTACTGAATCAGAAAACTCTAGGGTAGAGCCAGCAATCTGTGTTTTTTTTTTTTTTTTTTAGACAGAGTCTTGCTCTGTCGCCAGGCAGCAGGCTGGCGTTCAGTGGCGCAATCTCGGCTCACTGAAATCTCCACCTCCCGGGTTCAAGCAATTCTCCTGCCTCAGCCTCCCGAGTAGCCGGGACTACAGGCGCGGACCACCACGCCCAGCTAATTTTTGTATTTTTTAAATAGAGATGGGGTTTCACCATGTTGGCCAGGATGGTTTCGATCTCTTGACCTCGTTATCCGCCCACCTCGGCCTCCCAAAGTGCCGGGATTACAGGCGTGAGCCACCGCGCCCAGGCCAATCTGTGTTTTAACAAATATTTCAGGGAATTTTGAAGAATGTTCAAGTTTGAAAATCACTGGCTTAGATAATTCTCTTTTCTTAGCTCTTAGAATTTTTTTTAATTTAGGAAAGAATATTTTCCTAAGAATCCTTAAAAACAGTAGAATCATTTACTTGTAAATAATACTTAAAATAATTATAGATTCATAAAAGACGGTCCACTCATGGCATCTTAAGGTAACATCAGTTCAAGTTATTAAAATTAATACAAAAATAGACGAGGTGTGGTGTATTATGCTTGTAATCCCAGCACTTTGAGGCTGAGGTGGGCGGATCACCTGAGGTCAGGTGTTTGAGACCAGCCTGGCCGACATGTCTCTACTAAAAATACAAAAAAAATTGGCTGGGCGTGGTAGTGTACACCTATAATCCCAGCTACTGAGGAGGCTGAGACAGGAGTATTGCTTGAACCTGGGAGGCGGAGGTTGCAGTGAGCAGAGATCACATCACTGCACTCCAGCCTGAGTGACAGAGTGAGACTCCATCTTAAAAAAATAAATAAATAAGCCCAATACAAAAAACAAACTTAACACATTTTTCTAGTTCAGATTAGTCTTCTTTCCAAGTAGCTAGTTAGTAAGATTTTACTATACATACTTTAAGGCAGGCCTACACAACTGAAATAGATTGTGCTCTGTCTTGTGAAAACTATCACTTCCAGAATATGTTTCCAGGTTTTTGGCTGCCAAAAAAGCCTTTTGAACTACATGTAATAAAAGATTACTGCTTCTCCAAACATACTGATACCATTCTGATGCTGTTCTTACATGTATAAAACTAGTATATGATACAGGTTTGTCTTGTAAACTAAACATACTATTGTATTATTTCGTTTTGTTGATGAACAGGACTGAGAGACAACTTAGAAAATCTTTTCTCACAGGTAACCACTGGGGCTGGGTGCGATGGCTTACACCTGTAATCCCAGCACTTCGGGAGGTTGAGGCGGGTGGATCACTTGGGGTCATGAGTTTGAGACCAGCCTGGCCAACATAGTGAAGCCCCATCTCTACTAAAAAACACAAAATTCACCAAGCGTGGTGGCGCATGCCTGTAATCCCAGTTATTCAGGAGGCTGAGGCAAGAGAATTGCTTGAACCTCAAAGGCAGAGGTTGCAGCACTCCAGCCTGGGTGACAGAGCGATAACTCTGTCTCAAAAAAAAAAAAAAAGGTAACTGCTGGGAGATGCTTCTGACGATTGGCGATGCGTACCCACAAAACTGCCAGGTTAACTATCACTTCTACCAAAATAATCACAGAATGTAGGAAGAGCTGTTAATCTTGAATAATCACGAACCAAAAGAAACTTATTCAAACCTGTGCTGTTTCCGTACCTGTTTTTCTTTTCTTTCTTTCTTTCTTTTTTTTTTTTTTGAGACAGAATCTTGCTCTGTCTCCCAGGCTGAAGTGCAATGGCACAATCATAGCTCACTGCAGCTTCGAACTCCTGGGCTCAGGCAGTGCCCCTGTCCCAGCCTCTTGAATAGATAGGACTATATGTGCATACCACCATGCATAGTAGATTGGCTGATTTTAAAAAATTTTTGTAGCTATAAGGTCTCACTATGTTGCCCAGGCTGGTGTCAAACTCCTAGCTTCAAGAGATCCTCCTACCTCAGTCTCCCAAAGTGCTGAGATCTGTTTCTTTCTTTAACAATTCTTTCTGCAAACAAATCTAAGCAAGTGCCATGTCTAAATATGCATCACCAGACCACTAGAAATGCTTGAGATTCCGCAGTAGAGACTTAGAATTTTCATTGATACCTTGGTAATATCTGACTTCATGACTTCCTCTAATTGCTCTTTTAACCGAGCTGTCTCATATTTAGGGACACAATTTTGCTCTTCACTCCTTCCAACCTGCTGTTTAAGTTTTGCATTCTCACTTTTAACTTCAATGATTTGCTGCTGAAATTTTATGTTCTTAGCTCTTTCATTTTCAGACATAAATTGCAAATTTTTAACTTGAGCGAGCAATTTCTCAAGTCTAAATTTTAGTTTCTGTTTTTCTTCTAGGTTCTCCTTTTCACGGTTCTGGAATTCCTCCTGTAAAGACAAGAACTCTTGTTCTTGGGTCTCTTTTTCCTGTTTCAGCAAGTTCAAAGCAGAAACTGTGGCCTTTTCTATTTCTTCTTTGAGTTGTTGCAGTCTCTCTACCTCTTCTTCTTTCTTGCTTAAGGCTTTGTCCATCTCTAAATACTGACTTGAAGATTCATTTTTTTGTTGCATTTCAGCCATGTACCTTTCCTGTAAATGCATATAATTAGCCTTGATCTTCTTAAATTGAAGCTGTAACATTTCCTTCTCATTCCTGGATTCCTGAAGACGTTTTTGGGTATTAGCTAAAATCTCTTGCAAATTCTGCAACGTGTTTTTCATATAATTCTTCTCCAGCATTATTTTGTATTTGTCTTCAATTAATTCTTCAACATTTTCCTTTAGCTTATTGATGACATCAACGAACACTTGTTGTTTGGTAATCTTCATCTGTAGTTCTTTAACTCTCTTCTCTAAATATACATTACTATACTGGAGTTCTTGGATTCGCACTTCCTGCTTTCTGTTAGTATGTTTTAATTTCTGCAAGACTTCATTTAAAGCCATGTCCTCTTCCAAAGGTTGTAAACTGTCAATGCTTTGCTCCATGTCAGGCATCTTGCAGTTCTCCTGAGATGTTTTACTCCTCCAGAAGATATTTTCTGGAGACCAAGTTGAGACAATTTCTGGCCTCTCCATACCCTCTGCTGTGACTTCCTTTTGGTGACTGACTGACATCTCAGGAATCTCCCCATAATTCTGTATTTCTTTTGAAGGAACTGAAGTCTGTAAATTACAGTAAACAAAGTAAGTGTGAGTGAGTAGAAAGGCTGTAAGCTTTCAAGTCAGATAGAGCTGGCCTTGAATTCTATTAATAGATCCCCTGTTTGGTTTCCTCCACTATAAAATAACAATAGTACCTACTTCCAATAATAATGCCTATTCAGAAAAATTAATACTTATGTATTAATTGCTAAATGTTCGTACAGCATCTAATAGCACAGCAGAGGACAGGCAGTAGGTAGATGACAGATAAACATCCCACCAACTTGGACAAAAGGAAGATTAAACTTTTATATTCTTACCATTTTCTGTCATGCAAACTTTTCTGCACAGATATAAGATGTTTGACTTCAAATGATCTCAGACAAATAAATGTATCAATTACCTTACAGACTGCAAGGTCTCTTTTTTTCTTTACATGTTATTACTGGGCCAAAAGTTTGGATTTTTAGGGAGGAACAGTCTCTTTTGAATATTTTTTTATTCCACATTTAGACCATTACCTCATTATGCTGTGACTCTTAGGAACATTAGAATGGCAGAAGAACATGCTTCACGATTGACTTTATGCCCACAATATAGGTTTTGGGGAAGTTATAAAAAGACAGTAGGCCAGGCTAGGTGGCTAACACCTGTAATCCCAGCACTTTGAAAGCCCAAGGCCGGTGGATCACCTGAGATCAGGAGTTCAAGACCAGCCTGGCCAACACGGTGAAACCCTGTCTCTGCCCAAAATACAAAAATTAGCCAGGTGTGGTGGCACATGCCTGTAATCCCAGTTACTCAGGAAGCTGAGTGAGGCAGGAGAATTGCTTAAACACAAGGGGCAGAGGCTGCAGTGAGCTGAAATCACACCACTGCACTCCAGCCTGGGTGACAAAGTGAGACTCTGTCTCAAAATAATAATAATAATAAAGAATTTTAAAAGACAGTAAATTGTGGTAAGAAATGGTGAAATGAATATTGAAAACCCAGGCCAGGCACAGTAATCCTAATGCTTTGTGAGCCCATGGTGAGAGAATCCCTTGAGGCCAGGAGTTCGAGACCAGCCTGGTTAATGTAGTGAGACTCTATCTCTACAAAAAAATCTTTTAAAAATCAGTCGGGCATGCGGGCATGTGCCTCTAGTCCTAGCTCCTTGGGAAGCTGAGGCAGAAGGATTGCTTGTGAGCTATCATCACACTGCTCTCCAGTCTGAGTAACAGAGCAAGATCTTTTATCTAAAAAAATAAAAAATAAAAACCCAGCAAAAGGTTATCTGTAGTGGTGCACTGTATAATTCTCTGGAATTCAGAGACAACGGACCTCTGCATTTTGTTTTTCGAGTTCACCCTTCTGCAGAACCTTGTATCTTAATGGTTTTTCACTGTTACGGGATAAAGATAACTATCATTACTGAGACCTACAAGGCCCTAATATCTTCCTCTTGATATCTGCTATAGTTTAAATGGATTCCCTAAAGTGCATGTGCCAGAAGAAGCTTAATCCCCAGTGCAACAGTGTTGGAAGAGGGGGCCTAGTAAGAGGTGAATAAAAATGACTAAATGTTGTTATCACAGAAGTGTGTTACTTATCACAAGTTAATTTGTTATAAAAGTGAGTTTGGCCTTCACTTGCTCCCTCGGTCTCACCCTCTTTTGCCCTTCCACCTCCCACCATGGAATGACAACACACAGACCCTCACATGATGCTGGCACCATACACCTAGACTTCAAAACAGTGAGCCAGATAAACTGCTATTCGTTATAAATTACCCAGTCTATGATATAGTTGCAGCAGTAAGAAATGAACTAAAACAGTATCTGACCCACACCACCTTTCTGTCTTCATCTGCTATGCCCCTCCTACTCCCTACAACTCTGATCTTCTTGGACTCAGGGCTTCCTTCAGGTCCTAGTAGGTACCATCCTTCCTGTGGCCACAGGATTTGTAGACGTTCTTCTGTATGGAATGCTCTCCCACCCATAGCTGCCTAATTAACTCTTACTCATCTTTTAGAGCTCAGCTCAATGATCATTTCTTCAGGAATGCTTCCCCAGACTCCCTGATCAGGGTAGTTTCTTTATCATAGATGCCCATCCTACTTATAACACATCACAGTTGCAAGTTAGTATGTAACTTTATATAGCATTATACATGCTTTACATACACTTTATATGTAACTTTTATTCACGGAATTTATTGAACTTATCATAGGTGTAAGTTTACATTTATATGTGTGATTATTTGATTAATGACTATCTCCTCTAGTAGGATGCTGTTTTCATCAGGACAAGAACTACATCTTTTTGTCTAATCATTACCTAACTAACATATAGTACACACCCGGCATGTAACAGATACCTAAAGGTATCTATTGACTGAATGAAAAATGGCTAAATGCAATGGAAAGAGGAAAGAACAATCTTGAGAAACCCTATTTAAGCTTATTTTTATTTAAAATGTTGTTTTCCAGAAATCAACATGGATGAATAACGTTCTTTTAAATGCTGTCATCTACTTTCAAAAAAAAAAAAGAAAAGAAAAAACTGCTCATACTTGTAAATAAGGCATTATAGCCACAGCATTTCCCATCAAACTCACATTGAAAAGGTATTATTGGCCAGGTGTGGTAGCTCACACCTGTAATGCCAGAACTATGGGAGGCAAGGTGGGCGGATCACTTGAGGTCAGCAGTTCAAGACCAGCCTGGTCAATATGGTGAAACACTGTCTCTACTAAATATACAAAAAAAAAATTAGCCAGGTGTGGTGGCACATGCCTGTAATCCTAGCTACTTGGGAGGCTGAGGCAGAATTGTTTGAATCCAGTAAGTAGAGGTTGGGGTGAGCTGAGGATCATGCCACTGCTCTCCAGCCTGGACAACAAAGTGAGACTCCATCTCAAGAACAAAACAAAACAAGAACAAAAAAAGAAAAGGTATTACTTATACTATTCTTGAATTTTATCTATTTGCCCATAACAATTTCTAGTACTTTTATTTTTGTTCAGAAAGTACACAGAATATATAGTGTTGGTATCTCCCTGGATTCAGGAAGTACACAGAATATATACTGTTGGTATCTTCAGTGCTCTTAGGATACTACATGTGTGCTCAGAATCAATAAACCAAAGGATAAACTAATATTTTCACTTTAACAGAAAAATTAGTATTTTTGGTTGTCAACAGAAATCCAGTATGACAGAGAAATCTTCTGAAAAATTAATTAGTGCCTCTGCACTCCTTCCTTTTAACCTTTCCATTACTGTAAATGTCGCTACTTCTAGCCAGTTTGATTCAACAAATATAAAAGCTTATTATGTTCAGGCTGCTCTGTCTACACAGCAGCCATTCTTTTTCTTTTCTTTTTTGAGACCGAGTTTTGCTTTTGTTACTCAGGCTGGAGTGCAATGGCACGATCTCGGCTCACTGCAACCTCCGCCTCCTGGGTTCAAGCAATTCTCCTGCCTCAGCCTCCCGAGTAGCTGGGACTACAGGCACGCACCAACATGCCCACAGTTAATTTTTGTATTTTTAGCAGAGACGGGGTTTCACCTTGTTGACCAGGATGGTCTCGATCTCTTGACCTCGTGATCCAACCACCTCGGCCTCCCAAAGTGCTGCTGGGATTATAGGCGTGAGCCACCGCACCCGGTGCAGCCATTCTTTTCTTTCTTTATGTCTCTAATAAAATTGCTTTCAATGAAAAAAAATTATAGTAAAAAAAGCTTATTCAAGGAACCATTTAGGTGCAAGGGTACATAAAAGGGTGAGTAAGACAGAGTCCTGATCCTTAGAAAAATTACCATTTGGTAGAGCTAATCCTTAAGTATGAACTTGATTTTATTAGAAAAATTTATTTCTGAATTGGCTAAGATCTCAGAATGCATTTTCCTTGGAGAAGCAAAGTCCCTGGTGATTTACTAGGTGATTTAACACTACTTGGAAAAGTCTCAGATTATATATGTGTGTGTATATATATATATACACACACACACACACATTTAAAAAATTTTAATTATTAATTAATTAATTAATTCATTTTGAGACGAAGTCTCACTCTTGTTGCCTAGGCTGGAGTGCAGTGGCATGGTCTCTGCTCACTGTAACCTCTGTCTCCCAGATTCAAGTGATTCTCGTGCCTCAGCCTCCCAAGTGGTTGGGATTACAGACTCCTGCCACCAGGCCCGGCTAACTTTTTTTGTATTTTTAGTAAAGACAGGGTTTCCCCATGTTGGTCAGGCTGGTCTTGAACTTCTGACCTCAGGTGATCTGCCCACCTTGGCCTCCCAAAGTACTAGGATTACATGTATGAGCCACCGTGCACAGCCTTATATATATGTATTTTATATGTATCCTTTTAATACTCCATAGGCTTTACTGACCATCACAATCTTACTCTTCTGCTTTATAATTAAATTTCAGATGAACTATTCTCTTTATAAAATGGTTTCACAATAGTATTGTGTATACTTTCCTTATATGAGAAGCTTGGAGGTTGACTGGGGCTGAGAGCAGATTCCTTGGCAGTACTTTTAGCCAGTGACTTTTCTGTAACTTTCAGCGTTTCTCCACTGCAATGGATTAGAGGTGGGCTTCTAGGAGGAGGCTGTCTAAAATACTCGTTACCAAGTTGGTCTGTATTTGCAGAAACACTAGTTTCCACTGGATTTTCTTCCTTAAATGAGTCTTGTTTTATATAGTTGTCTTTTGCATAATTATATACTTGACTTTGAAATTCTGGCTTCTCTGTCATTTCATCATCAACTGTTTCTACCCAGGGGAATTTGCAAACAGTTTCAAATCGTCTCAAGGAAGATATGCTGATAGTGTCAACTGGCTGAATTAGTATATTCTTTGAGTAATTTTCAATGTTGTTATCTCATAAGAAAGAGAAAGAAGGAAATAAAAATGTGCAGACCATAAACTTGGGCAGTAACAGTTATATTTATATTTATCAAATAAACTGCTGTAGCCACTTAAGAAATATGTATTATTTCAACCTTACTGTGTGGACTTTAGCATGGTTTTGTGCTAGCAAACAAAACAAAACTTTTTATGTGGGGGAAAGAAGTTCCCAAATGACTGCTCAAAAAGCTTGTTAAATGTAATTCTGGTCAGATACAACAAATTTCGAGATACCTTCAAAATTCTTTTGTCTTAACTTTAAGATGTTTCAAATTATAAAATGTTTCAAAAGGACAGGGATAGTATAATAGAAAACACATATAAACGCGCTTAATCCCAAAAAAATCCCAAGATGTCAGTACTGTTATTATCTCTATTTTAGAGATTAGGAAACTGAAGTGTACGAGATGTTAAAGTCACTTGTCTAAGGTCACAGCGCTGAGATTCTAGACTACTACTTCTAAATGCTACACTATACTATTTTTCAATATGACAAATTATGCAGATTTATTTTAAATCAGAAGCAAATAAGAAAACAAAATGTTACAAATTAATGATCATTTTAATCTAACTTTCCTCCTCCCCAGAGATAACCACTGTACTGAAGCCCATATGCATTCATTCTTCCCATTCCCATTTTACTTTTACTACTTAATTTATGTATCCTGAATAATATAATCAGCATAATCATTCCTAAAGAATAAGTTCCCAGATTTCCTCATTTTGTGACACTTTAATGTCCCAGTACTTTTTTTCACTGTACAGATTTGGGGTTACATCAACACACATCTCTTTATTTTTGAGACAGGGTCGCACTGTGGTTGCCCATGTTGGAGTGCAGTGGTGTGATTCGGCTCACTGTGGTGTCAGCCTTGTGGGCTCAGGTGATTCTTCCACCTAGGCCTCCAGAGTAGCTAGGACTATAGGCACACGCCACAACGCCCAGAAAATTTTCTGTATTTTTAGTAGAGACAGGGTTCGTCATGTTGCCCAAGTTGGTCTCAAACTACTGGAATCAAGCAATCCTCTGCCTTGACCTCCCAAAGTTCTGGGATCATAGGCATGAACCACTGCACCTGGTCTTTTATTTAATTTATTAATTTTTTTGAGATGCAGTTTCGCTCATGTTGCCCAGGCTGGAGTGCCATGGCACAATCTCGGCTCACGGCAACCTCTGCCTCCAGGGTTCAAGTGATTCTCCTGCCCTATCCTCCTGAGTAGCTGGAAATTACAGGCATGTGTCACCACGCCTGGCTAATTTTGTATTTTTAGTAGAGACAGGGTTTCTCCATGTTGGTCAGGCTGGTCTCAAACTCCCAACCTCAGATGATCCACCTGCTTTGGCCTCCCAAAGTGCTGGGATTACAAGCATGAGCCACCGCAATCAGTGCCCCCTTTTTCTTCAAGAGATAGGTTCTCCTTCATTGCCCACTGGAGTGCAGTGACATGATCACAGCTTATAACAGCCTTGGACTTTCTGGCTTAAGCAATCCTCCCACTTGGCCTTCCAAAGCACTGGTATTATAGGTATGATCCACCACACCCAACTTCAACACACATTTAAAGATACTTGTATAGTAGAAAATTCTTGTGTCTGAGACTGGGACTTGATCATGGCTCATTCATTTAAAGCTACACAATCCTGGGCAAGATACTGAGTCTTATTTAAGTCATCTCTAAAATGAAGATAAAAACAGCCCTTACTTCAATTTTTAAAAATCTTTATTTCAATAAGATTGTTTGTGGATTAAGTGTGAGAATGTACATAAGGTGCTTAGCACAATACCTGGCTATTGTTATTACCACAGATCATAAAAAAATTTTCTCTCTTTTGCATATTGCTAACAAATAGATACTTACCACCTAACAAATTGTCTAGTGTGCTATAAGCATCTTCACAAAGTGTGGATTTATACTCATTTTCCCTTTCAAAATTCTCTATTTCATTCTGTATTAATAAAAAAGGCATTAATATTAATACTTCAAACATCATAAGCTTCTTCTAAAGGTATTTGCACATTGCTATGTAATTCTATTAGAATATTTCATTGTAATGAATGTGATAGAATGTACTTTCCAGTATCTTTCCCCAGCATATATTTGGCTCCCTTTTTGTAAAACTATGCTAACAGAGTTACAGTATTAAACAAGAATGTCAAATAGCTTGCTATTTTAAAATTATGGTTTTTCAGTAAGTCAAATCATGTGACTATAAACTTAGGGATATGTGTTAGTGTATTTATCTTTTTTTTTGAGACCGAATTTCGCTCTTGTTACCCAGGCTGGAGTGCAATGGCGCGATCTCGGCTCATGGTAACCTCTGCCTACTGGGTTCAGGCAATTCTCCTGCCTCAGCCTCCTGAGTAGCTGGGATTACAGGCACGCGCCACCATGCCCAGCTAATTTTTTGTATTTTTAGTAGAGACGGGGTTTCACCATGTTGACCAGAATGGTCTCGATCTCTTGACCTCGTGATCCACCTGCCTCGGCCTCCCAAAGTGCTGGGATTACAGGCGTGAGCCACCGCGCCCGGCCTAGTGTATTTATCTTATTGATAATTCTTTGATGTTTATTAAATCTAGTCTAAACAGCATTAAGATCATTGTTATTCCAATCTATTAACACTGAAGATATATAAAACAGGCATATATCTGTGATGTATTTTTATAAATTCCTATTTAGTGGAATCAGATGTCACCGACTATCAAATGTTTAGAACAACATTCATGAAGATATTAGGATATTACAATCTTTCATTTTGTAAGAAAGGGAACTAGGCATTTTCATGAAGATAGGAAAGTTATCATCTACATGCAGGGTGCTGTCAATGTCATTATGAGTGATAACTGAATCATTTGCATACTGACTTAAGTGGAAGATGCATTAGACTAGACGTCAGTTTCCTTGGGCTCTTGTCCTGGCTATGTAACTGAACTGTTGTGGTCATGTCCCCTGGCTGCACTCCTGGGACTTCATGAGGCTAGAAAGGATTTTAACAGTGTGTGTAAAAATGTACCTTGCTCTGTCGCCCAGGCTGGAGTGCAGTGGCATAATCTTGGCTCACTGCAACCTCTGCCTCCCAGATTCAAGCAATTCTCCTGCCTCAGCCTCCAGAGTAGCTGGGATTACAGGTGCTCACTATCATGCCCAGCTAATTTTTATATTTTTAGTAGAGATGGGGTCTCACCATGTTGCCCTGGCTGGTCAAAATATATTACACCAGTGAAACTGGGAAAACCAGACCTTGTATTCCCCTCTGTTATACGTCCACTGACAATTCTTTTATTGTTCCTTATATACTTGAAGAAGTTTTCATATGGAAGACAATGTGAATTCTGAATACATCTGAGCCTCCTGGAACTTATAAGCAATGCATACCTGAGGCAAGTCACAAGTGGTACTGGTGGTTTCCATACAAATGGGAGAATCTGAGAGCGTTAAGCCTTGACAAAGATTGCTGACATTCACGGTATCTGACTTTGACATGCTTTCTAATTTTTCATGAGAAGTATCCACTTCAAAATGCACAGGATCTGAAGGTGATGCCCCAAACTTCTGATAGTCCTTGTTCGTAACTGTTGAATAATAGAAGCCTTCCCTAAAAAAAAAAAAAAAAAAAGTATGCCTATTAGTATGTGCAAACGAAAAGTTTTCCCTATCCTTCTTCTCATTAACAGAGTAGCAAAATTTACTGCTGTTATTTAAAATGTCATCTGTCAAGTTATTAGAAAAATTAAAAATTTTAGTCTAAGTATACCATGAAAATTTGGTGTGGTAGAAAATACTGATTTGGAAAATAACAGTATTGGCTACTATCCAATAATTCCCTAAAAGGCTTTGGACCTAGAAGGTGAAGGAATCTCTATGTTACTTAATCAAAGGATATTTACAAAATATTATCAGAGACCTATTAGGTTCCACCAAATGCTATATTTTGTTCACTTGATACCTTCCGCTTGAACACCTCACTAGCAAGTCGAATCCAGCATTGTAAATCAGTTTTCCCTCTTCGTGTTCCTATACTACACCTACTGCCTGTGTTTGAAAATTGGAGTTGTCTTGGCATCTCTCTACCTCATGATCCATGGCTCTTCAGATACCAAATCTCATCCATTTCTCCTTTAAAAATGCCTTTCAGTGACCTGTGCTTGCTTTCCATTCCGTGTTGTCACAATGGTCCACATTCTCCTGACTTCCTCAGGCCTGTCCGGAGCAGAGAGTGGAAAGGATGGCCACTCACATTGAGTCTAAATTCTCCTGCTTGTCTTTCCAAGCCATCCATAGCATGCAGTGACATTACCTACTCAGTACTCCTCTGCTCAACTCAGATCAGGCTCATTTCCCTGCAGATAGTCTATGTTCCTTACGACTTAAGCTTCAGTCATCTGCCCTAGCATGTCCTTCTCTCCTAAAACCTGCCCATCTACCCATTCAGCTATTTTTTAAATTCCTACAATGTCTCCAGTCTCTAAATCTCTTACAATTCAGCACTTAGTGACTTCGTTTACTGTTTTAGAGCTTCACCAGTTTCAAGGGTGTTAGTACTTGTATTTACAGATCATAAATGCCTTGAGAGGAGTCGGCCTCCCAAAGTGCTGGGATTAAAGGCTTGAGCCACCGCGCCCGGCCTATGGTGGATTTTTAACATATTTATCAAATGTTTGTACAGATGTTCCAAAGACATTCTAAAGGTGTCTTAAGATAGGAGTTACTGGCAAAAACCAGTTTTGTTTAAAAGTTTCTTCATCGTACAACAAACTTTACCTTTTTAAAAGCACTTATCTCATTCATTTTCACCTCAAAATGAGGCACCAAACTTTTTAACACACAGAAGTGTGCTCACTTCAGGATCCACAGAGTTTCTTGGACCCACGCTACGGACTTGGCGCTTCCTCCCTCTGCACCGGGTTTTGCGGGAGAGAGAACGCTTTTCAACCTCCTCCACCGGGGAGTCTCACAAACTCGCAATCCGGCTCCCTGGGCGCTGGAACGCCCCATGTGACGTCCGCTCGCGCCGGCGGATCTCGGCGGGGACAGGCGCAGCCCGCGAGGCCAGAGCGACCCCAGGTCCGTCCTCCCAGAGAGAAGTTAGGAGGGTACGACCCCCTGGGCGGAACACTGTGGAGTAGCTGGCGCCTCCTGCCGCAGTAAACACAAAATAGAGTACAAAAACGAAAACTCCGGGAAGAAACGGCCAGCACCGGCCTCGCCGGGCTGGCTACTCAACACGCCTACCTCAGAGCGGGTAACGTCCACTGATCCCATACAACGTTACATTCAGAGCTAGCTCCGAACGCTCAGCCCTGCTCAGGGGCGGGACTTCTGCTCAAGTCAGACTTCCGGGCGGGGCGGGGCTTCCGGTTGGGGAGCCAGGGCGGCCTATCTGTCAGCGGCGTATCTGTTGGTCAGGTTTTCCCGTTGCACGTGGTGGCTACTGTTGGCTTCTGAATGGTTTGTAAGGCCGAGATTCACGCCGAAGCCGTTGGATCGGTCGCGGGTACATCCGCCTGAGCCGTTTCTGTCCCAGTGCAGAGCGGCGGCCTCCCGCGGCTCCTTTCAATCATGGACTACCGGCGGCTGCTCATGAGCAGGGTGGTCCCCGGGCAGTTCGACGACGCGGACTCCTCCGACAGGTAGGCGACTGTACAGTGCACTGGGTCTGGTTACTGCTCTCTCCTTGTCCACCCCCGTGAGCAGTGGACTCTTGTTTGTGGTTTAGAGGAAGACTAGCAGTTCAGCACTCAGCGTCTTGACATTTTGCCTGTTTCTGCATCCCAGCCGGATCTTTCTCCCAGTTCATCGCAGAGTTAGTGAAAGCCACTTGTCAAGGGAGTCTGCGGTTCCCAGGTTGGTTAGCGTCACTGGGAGGCAGAATTGGGGATAGCGATTAGGAAACACAGGTGTTTGCGTTTTAACCACATGTAGCGTTCAACAAATACTGAACACTTAATATGTATCACGTTCTGTCCTGGGCGCCGGAGATAGTGATGAACAAGACGAACCAAGTTCCTGATGTCATGGAACTTTACCTTCTACATGAAAGGGAGGGCACACCATTTAAAAACCAAATAACGATTCGACTATGCAAGCCGTTTAATATACTAAGTGCTGACTGAATGGGTAGGGAAAGGTTAAGTCCAGATTTTAATGACAAAGAGCTAATCTTGGCAAGAGCAGAGGGAACTGTATTTCACACAGAAGGGACAGCAAGCGCAAAGGCCCCGAGGCCAGAGTGCCTAGAGCAGTGAAGGTAGTTGAGAAGATTGATAGGGTGTTGATAGAGAAGTAAGAAGGGGGCCAGATCATGGAGACCCTTACAGGCGATGGTGAACAGTTCAGATATTAATCTGGGTCTTATGGAAAGCCATAGGAGGGATTTTAGCAGAAGAATGACATTATTAAATTTGCGATTTAAAGGAATCATGCTTCTATGTAGATGATGTTCATGGAGGGCGGGAGTGGAGCCGAGAGATCAGTTCGAAGTAATAAGGTAATCAGATTCAAAATGGTGGGGACTAGAGCTCGGATCCTAAAGATATGTTTTTGGAGGTAGAAGTGGTAGGGTTTGGTGGTAGTTTGGTCGTGGAGTCTGGGGAAAGAGGAATGAAGGATAACTCCTGCCTACAAGCTAAATGAAACATATTGGAGTTATTTTGGAATTCCAGGAAAACAGTTTGTACTTTATGTTTACAGTGATCATTCATTACATGTAGATTTTATTAATTATTGGGGATGTTTTTAATAAATATATGTATGTTGACTGCTTTCTGTGTGTCAGATCTAGTCTTGGGTGGTAGGGAGGCATTGGTAAACACCATCCTGCATGACCCAGAGCTTGCATCCTGGCAGGGGAAACCGAAATTATTAAATAATTAGACAAACTATTTGTATTAGAATTTGGTAAGTAATACAAAAGAGAAGTGGGTGCAAAATAAGGAAGGCTTCCTTAAGCAAGTGATAGTGAGCTGATACTTGAAGGATGAGTAGGGGTTAGCCAGAGAAAGGGGAAGGGCATTCCAGTTTTATGGTTCCAGAGAAGTGTACAGAAAGCCTTAGGGAAGAAGTTAAGCAGCAGAAGAAACATAGCCAGCACAGCTGATGGGTAGTTAATGGTAATAAGAGGGCACTAATTTACCATCCACCCCAGGGTATTGTAAGGATACACCAGTGATTTTCCATCAGGGAAAATGTTGCATCCCAACCTCTACCCAGGGGCTTTTGGCAATTTCTGGAGACGTCTTTATTTGTCACAGCTGGAGGTGGTGGTGCATTAGTGGCATCTGGTAGGTAGAGGCCAGAGGTTTGCTGCTAAACATCCTACAGCGCAGAAGACGGTGTCCCACAATGAAGAATTATCTGTCAAAGTTACAACTTTAACATGCCTCTCTAGGCAATTCTACTATCAATCTATGGAGCATATGTATGAAGTCCTGGTAAATAGCAAGTGTTTAATGATTATCTGTTCTCTTCTTCCATGTGTCCATGGGAGCCCTCGGAGCCACGGCTAATTAATAAATTGGGATTGATAATCTGAATTTACTTAAACTCATGTCTGTTTTTCAGCTGGTAGCTCATATTATCAGCTGCTTTTTTATGGTTTCTGTCCTTATTCTGTACAGGAGAGGTCAAAACTGATAGTCCCCTGTTGAATTTGGCCTGAAGACATGTTTTGTTTGGTATGCACAGTTACTTGTGAAAATTGACTATGCCAGTTAAGGGATAGATTTTTACACAGAAATCCAGACTTCCTAGCTTCTCTTGAAAAATTAAAATCTGATAACACTAGGCCTGAATCCTCATATGGCCAAAAAAAAAAGAAAACCCTTACTAGTTGTACTCCCTTTACCCTAGACCTCTTTTCCCAGTTTGCCCGCGCCCACTTCTATCACTTCTATCGTGCAGCCTACTTCACTCATTTATAGTGCCTGGCCCCTGTATTCATCATTTCTTCCCATCACGAACAAGGATGATTTGGAGTTCTTTGTGGAACATAAAGCTTGATGTAACTTCTTTTGTTGCAAAGTGTTATCAAGTTCAAAGTAAGGCTGCCTTAGACTTATTCCCAAATATTTTGTCAGAAAGCTTTTTTTTTTTTTTTTAAAGAGACAGGGTTTCAGTCTGTTGCCCAGGCTGGAGTACAGTGGCACAATCATGGCTCACTGTAGCCATGAACACCTGGGCTCAAGCGAATCCTATGGCCTCAGCCTCCCAAGTATCTGGGATAAAAAGTGCAAGCCACTGCACCGGCCTTTTTTCCCTCTGTCTTTTTTTTTTTTTTTTTTTTTTAACAGAAAAATTTTCCTCTTCTTAAAGCAACTCTGTGAATGATTTTCTTAGAGTCAAGTCCGGCATACCGGTCTGCATTGTTTATTTAGCAGAGAAGACAACAATGTAAATTCTAACTTCACTAAGGCAGAACCAGATTTAACACATGATGTGCTTCTTGACTAGTAGGATTTGGGCATGGAGAATGAGCAAACAGCTGCAAGAGAACCGGAAAACAGGAGAACGTGGTTTTAAGAAGATGGAGCTTATTGGAAGGTGTATTGTATATAAATATATAATCTATTTTAGGTTTATCAATATTTTAAACTCATAAGTAATTAAACATGTGAGTTCAGTTAGGGTGTGTGTAAATTCTGTTATGAAATAATAAAACATTATTATTTCTAGTGAAAACAGAGACTCGAAGACAGTCAAAGGGAAGGATGACCTTCTGTTTGCAGACCTTCAAGACAATGTGAATGAGAATGGTGAAGGTGAAATAGAAGATGAGGAGGAGGAGGGTTACGATGATGACGATGATTGGGACTGGGATGAAGGAGTTGGAAAACTTACCAAGGGCTGTTCCCGGAATGGAGGAAGCAACCCACAGGTATTTTATAAAGGATTCTGCACATCCTTACATAGTCTGCTTATGTCTTCTTTTTTAAAAAGCTGTTTTATGAATCTGGAATTGAATAACTAAATATTTTCTTCATGTTACCTTGTCCTATAGCCACAACCTTTACTGATTTTCACTTTTCATCCTTTCTATGTTTCTGATAATTTCTTGGGTATGGATTCTTTCTAGAATCTGTAAATTTAAAAAGTTATTTAAGGTTTCATGAGATTGTGAGCTTAAAATCTGCATGGGAAACGGCATGAATTGGCAGTTTACTACAAATGGCTGGGAAATATGGTAAAAAAGTTTAGCCTCATTAGTAATTAAAGAAATTTGTAGAGATGCCATTTCTTCATCTTTGAAACTGGTAAAGACAAAATATATCATTGATGGTCAAGTAAATAGGTGTACTTACTTGTAGGATAAACTAGTATGTGATAAAAAACTTTAAAAACTTCAGAATAATTTGACTTAGCAATTCTATGAGTGTGCAAAGACTTAGTTACAAGAATGATCCTCCAGGATTGTTTATGATAGAGGAACATTGGAAACAACCTTGAACTGGATTAAACATGCTGTGGGACTGATTCACACAATGAGGCATGATACATCTTTTAAGATGTTGTAATGGAAGACTATTAATGAGATAGGAATATGTTTATGATTATTTACCATGTGCAAAAAACAAGTTACCAAACCATGTACAGCTGCTTCTCATACTG